CTCCTTCTCGCATATAAAGTCTTTAATGGCCATGCTCCATCTTATATCAGAGATCTGATTGTTCCTTATGTTCCTAAAAGAGCACATTGCTCTCAATCTGCAGGTTTACTAGTGGTTCCTAGAATTTCTAAAAATAGAATGGGAGGCAGATCTTTTAGTTATCAGGCTCCTCTCCTGTGGAACCAACTACCAGTTTTAGTCCGTGAGGCAGACACCATGTCTACTTTTAAGGCTAGGCTTAAAACTTTTCTTTTTGATAAAGCTTATAGTTAGAGTGGCTCAGGTTATCCTGGGCTATCTCTAAAGTTATGTTAGACTTCTGGAGGACATAGGGACCCCCATTTCATCATTCTGCTTCATTCTATATCTATTCCTCCACTCTGCAGAATCTGCTAGTTTAGTTAGTCTCTAACGTTATGCTCTCTGTGCTTTTTCTCAGAGTAGCTTTGCCTCGTCTGTTCCTGTTTGGCTGTGACTCCATCCTGGAGAGAAATATTAGCTGTGCTGCTGCCATCAATACCCTTGTTTATAGATGCTGGAGATCCAGTGTAGTCCTGTTTCTCTGACTGTAACTGGCTGGATGTGCTCTCTTCATCCTCTGACATGGGAGTTGGCTCAGAGCTTGTTTGCCTGGCTGTTTGTCTCCTGGATGGGGCCAACTTCCACAGCTGCTTTTTGTATCTCTGCTTCTGTCTCCTTGAACCCCAATCAGGCTCGGCTGATGGCCGCCTACACTTATGCTGGTTCTGCTGGAGGTTTCTTCCTGTTAAAAGGGAGTTTTTCCTCTCCATTGTCGTTACAAGCATGCTTAATGTGAGGGATTGCATTTGAGTCAATGAGTCGATGCAATCAACTGGTTTTCCTTAGATAGAAAACTTTGAATCAATTCGACTGTGTGATCTGGAGAAATGTAAAGTGCAAAACAGAGAAAAACAGAGCATTTCATGAATGCCTACTGTGGGTGGAATATTTACATTTCTCTTTATTTGGAAGTGATGGGTAAAACCTGCATGACAGATTGAAGGCACTCATTTAGAGAAATTAATCTTTAATCAAGTTCAATTTAAAATTTTAGATGCACATATCTCGCTCAAACATAATGTCCTCACTTCTTCATAGTCTTCTCTGTTGATAATGCACTTCTCTTAATGAACCTACAGATTTACAATAAACAAGCTGAAGACAATACAAAATTAGTAGAGATAAGTAATTTACCTTCAGATTAAGATGATATTTTGAGCAAATACTTACCTTTCATACAATTTTTAAAAAGCAGCTGCAAAGCTAAGTTTCTGACTTTAATCAAATGAACATTTAGTAAAGAATATTCTCTTTAGATTTTATTTGAATTGCTGCAGCGATTGCAGTCTGTGTCTGCTTGATGATAATTATTACAGAGGAATATTGTTTTCTAGTACACAAAAAAAAAAAAACGTTATAAGACCCCAAATTCCATTTTTTTTTTCAAAAACAGAACTCTGTCATCAAATTATTGGACACATTTAAAGGCTTACACACTGATCCCAAAGTCATTACACAATGAAAAAGACACGCCACATTGTTTGCTCTTTTGAACAAACATTTCAGTCTTCGCACAGGATTTTCAAAAAGTGTAAGATTATGTATAATTATGTAATTAACAGTCAAAATCTGTGATGTTCCCCTTTCATTCAATTGGGAATTGCATTGGTGTTCTATATGTCATTTTTGCAGACATTTCTTATAGTTAAGCAGGAAACAGTGAGATAACTGTTTTGCATTTTGCAGTACTTGTTTTGATCATTGTGTGGAAATGTTGATGAGTGTTTAAGTTTTTGTGCTTTTGACACAAGAGCTTTGTTAATTGTGTCCTATTTTCAATTCAATTCAGTTTATTTACATAGTGTCAATTCACAACCAATGCCATCTCAAGGCACTTTACATTTCACCAGATCATAAAGTCAAAGTGATTCAAAGTTTTCTATCTAAGGAAGACCAGTTGATCAACTCATTGACTCGAAGGAAATCCCTCACACTAAGCATGCTTGTAGCGACAGTGGAGAGGAAAAACTCCCTTTTAACAGGAAGAAACCTCCAGCAGAACCAGGCTCAGTGTGAGCGGCTCTGTGCCGAGGCTGACTGGGGTTCAAGGGGACAAAAGCAGA